GTCTTCAGAAAGCAGTATTTAGTCTTCTAGAAGCAGTATCTAGTCTTCTGCTAAAGTTATGTATGTTTTCTCCAAAATATTTTATCTTTCTTTTGCAGTATTTAGATCTATTAGCAGTATCTAGTCTTCAGAAAGCAGTATTTAGTCTTCTAGAAGCAGTATCCAGTCTTCTGCCAAAGTTATGTATGTTTTTTCCATAATATTTTATCGTTCTTTTGCAGTATTTAGACCTATTAGCAGTATCTAGTCTTCAGAAAGCAGTATTTAGTCTCCACAAAGCAATTTTAGTCTTTAGAAGGCAGTGTTTAGTGTTCCAGGCGCTGTATTTAGACCTGTCGGAAGTATCTAGTCTTCAGAAAGCAGTATTTAGTCTCCTAGAAGCAGTATCTAGTCTTCTGTCAACATTATGTATGTTTTCTCCAACAATATCTTATCTTTCTTTTGCAGTACTTAAACCTGTCAGCAGTATCTAGTCTTCAGAAAGCAGTATTTAGTCTCCACAAAGCAATTTTAGTCTTTAGAAAGTAGTATTTAGTGTTTCAGATGCTGTATTTAGACCTGTCGGCAGTATCTAGTCTTCAGAAAGCAGTATTTAATCTTACAGAGTAGTATCTAGTCTTCAGAAAGCAATATTTAGTTTTTTAGAAGCATTAGATCTTTTTGGGAGCCTCTTGTTATCTATACGGATCTTCTACCACCCGGTACCTCATTTCTGCAGCAATTACTTTGCTTTTGTGCTTATCCTGCATTGGCAAAAGTTTCCGTATTGGTGATTTGCTGTCCTGTGCAATAACAAGACGCTATTGGTCTATTGGTTTGTTGTTCATATTCTTCGCATTCTTTTATTGAACACATAAGTATTGCCATGAAAAATCATGTTTGGTTTATAATCAATTTTTTGTTTTCTCTGAACAGTAATTTCAGACTTGATGTGGACTTTGAACAATGTAATTTCTGTTTTTTGCTGAAGTCTAGTTTATAACTATTGCAATTTCAGACTTTTTCTTGTAAATTAATCTTCTGACCAGAGTATTCCCGACTATTCCCTTAAGTTTGGTTTTTCACCAGTATAATTCTTAAATTTTTGCTGAAGTATGGATTATGATTATTCCAGTCTTTTTTAAGTTTATTTATATTTCTTTGATTATATATATTATGCATTTTTTGATTTTTTTAAATTATAATGAATTTTTAATTTTTGGCCCGCATTTTGGGCGCTCCCCCCCCGCATTCCGCCCAAAATGCTTGGGGGGTGGCACTCCGGTTCCCACACCCTAGCGCTTCATTTGCTAGCGCCGGCACTGATCGAAGAAATTATCCATGATGATTTTATCTAATGTTAATTATTAATAGTTTTTTATTTAAGTTTGTATTACTTTTCTTGTTTTAACGGAAATAGTAAAGCGGTCGAATTTTATACGTCAGTATAAATTCTATATGAGGTTAGGTATCCGCAGTTATCCCTTAGATAGCAACTTATCCGACACCCAACCCACAGTTGGGTTACAGATATTTCAAAAGTTATCCGTTGGATAGCGGTATCTATAAGATAAATACAGTGGTAGTAACCAATTTTTAAGCTATCCGATAGATAACGCTATCAGAGACTTTAACTACGAGTGGTAGTAGTGGGCCTAAGAGGAAGTAACCTCTCCTCATAATAAATCTTTATCTACATTTAGGTTGACATGCTTCTTCTACTTTGTATAATTGCCATTGTTTCTAAATAGAAGTGAAAATAGATACAGTAACTATTCCTGATAACTCTTCATGATATACAATCATACATTTTGCAAGATAAATTTGGTTACAAATAACTACTAACTATGAGCCACTAATAACTCAACATAATAATCTGGAATAGCTCTAACTTTATTCCAAATCAACTGTGATTAACTTAGAGAGTCTAAAGTAGCTCTGAGCTAGTTTCAACTATTCTGAGGACTTTAAAGTAATTCTGTGCTATTCTAAAAAATCTGAAGTAAATCGGATTTATCTTCGATAGTGTAAAATAAGTCTAACCTATACTAAATTAATTCAACCTCTCTCTACAAAGTCTGAAATAACTGCATTTAGAAAAATGATATTAAATTCTTTATTAATCTTACGGAAGTATTTTCAGTAAAATCATTGTAGTTTAAATAACCAGAAAGTTCAAAAAATGAAGAGCTGCGAAAGAGTCAGAAACAATTCAGAATGATATTAAGAAACTAGAAGTAAAAGTTTACCTGAAGAAGGTTCACTAAAATATAGAACTTATTACAAAAATATAATAATACATGCTGTTTAAAGTTAATTGAAATAAATTAAATATTAAAAAATGTATTATAATTAAACACATCCATAATGTTTGTGGAATAGTAGGCGTGAATAATTTCGTTAGGAAATAGAAGCAAGTAATCTGATAGTAATTCGCGACAAATGGAAAGGATCATCAAGTTCCTACGGGTGCTGTGAACAGAAAAGTAACATTCCTGCAAAGTACAGGCTGCAACAACTCGACACACATCGCTGCCTCAAATATAGTAAAATTATACGGCTGAAAACATTTTCATCTCAACTTTGGCAACAATTTCTCATTTAAATAAAATAAAAAAAAGCTTTACTACTGGTTTTATTTCTAAGTTCTTCTAAATCAACCTGACATGTTTCCGATCAATAATAGATCATTATCGGAGGTATGGTCAAACACAGAAATATCATACGAGGAAACTCAACATGAGACAATAATTTTTGCGGGTAGAAATTATTAGTTCTTGATATCTATTTATTAAATTAATATAGTACTGTTGAAAGAGATTTCTTAACAATTTCATTTATTTACCCAATGATTTTCCTTCTTTTCTTAAAGTAACAATTAACGTGAAAATACCTTGTGGAACTTTAATTTTCAATAAAACTATAGAATAAGTACACTTCTGTATCGCTACATCAACTGTTTTTGAGCGAAATAGTAGTTCCTTTATTACTTATAACTAATTTTGCTACGCCTTGTAAACACAACATGAAATATTTGAGATTAAGAGATCTGCACCACTTATATCTTGAAGATATTAAGTATGTATTAGATATACTTGAATACTATACAGAATGTTTCTAAATGGATGCGAAAGATTTTAAAGGCTGTTTTTTCATAAAAAAAAGCACTCTTTCATATAATTTTTGCTCAAAATCTCTTTTCCTCCAAGTTATAGCCCTCTAAAGTTAAGAGGAAAATTGTTTTTAATATATCCAACATGGAAGAATTTAGACGAAAGAATTTTGGCAGATAACTGTTGCTAATAAAATGGCACTTTTTGACGATTTTAGTAACTTAAATTAATCGAAATTTTCATTCAACAACAAAGTATTCTCAAATCCAAATTCCCCCGCAGCTGACTTTACAATTTTAAGTATGATTGCCTTCAATATACAAGTATACAAAAAATAATTATTCAAATATTTAAGTCTTAAGATCATGAGTGGAAGTGATAAACACACTTTTTTTCTTCATTCGTGGTGGGTGTCACAACCTTCAATAACCCAATAATTATTGGTTTATTTTGAACATCAAGTATGTTAAAGCAGATAACTGAAAATTGAAGGAATTAAAATATGGAACTTATTCTGAATTTTTATGCAAATCCATGGAATGCATTAAATCAACCAACAATGTATCTCAAATGATGGTGAAGTAATGTTAGGTAACAAATTGTCATTGAGTACAATTTGTTACCTAAAATTACTTCTCCATCATGTTTAGATTTCCAGTTATAGACATTTTTGTAACTAGAATTTACAATTTTGAATATTTGAGAATTTTTGGGTTAGAACTAAAAAATTATAATAGTTGAAATGAAATTGTTGGTGGATTATGATTTTATAATTCTTTAAGAACAAGTTATATCAACAATGTTATTTCTGCATCGGCTTTGGATTTCCAATTATAAAAGAATTCTCTTTATAAAATCAAAAATTTATGAAGTTTTGAGATGTTTTGCGATGAATGCAAAAAATGGTTATGAATGGAACAACATTCTTTATAGATTACGTTTTTATGATTTATTGAGTACAATTTGTTACCTAACATTATTTCTCCATCATATTTAGATTTCCAGTTATTGCACATCTTTGTAGCTAAAATCGATAATTTTGAATATTTGAGAATTTTTGGGTTAGAACTAAAAAATTGTAATAGTTGAAATGAAATTGTTGATGGATTATGATTTTATGATTCTTTAAGAACAATTTATATCAACAATATTATTTCTGCATCGGCTTTAGATTTCCAATTATAAAAGAATTCTCTCATAAAATCAAAAATTTATGAAGTTTTCCGTTGAAAGTTATCCGTTGGATAGCGGTATCTATAAGATAAATACAGTGGTAGTAACCAATTTTTACGCTATCCGATAGATAACGCTATCAGAGACTTTAACTATGATTGGTAGTAATGGGCCTAAGTGAGGTAATTTCCCATTTTTCGAGGTAAATAATTATTTGCAATCATTTTCAAAAAATCATAGCAAATCATAGACTTAATACATTTTTATGAAGTTATCAGCATTTGGTATACTAATCAAAAGCCTTGCAATGATAGAAATGGATTTTAAAAATATCTTTTAGTTCTTCAGCTATTTATTTTTAAGCATAGTAAGGCACTTATTAATTTTTCGGGATAAATAATTCAAAGCAAATCGTAGATTCAATAAATTGTTATAAAATTGTCAACATTTAGTACAGAAATTATAAGCTTTCCAATGAAAGAGATATTAATTTTTAAACATAATTATTTTTTTCAATCATTTTAATAAAACCATAACAAATTGTAGTTTTAATAAATTCTTATACAATTATCAGCATTTGCAATACAATTTATAAGTTTTCCAACGAAATAAACGGATTTAAAAAATATCCTTTAATTTTTGAGATAATAATGTTTAAACATTCTCATATTTATTACTTACCTGATTTAGATAACTTGAATAATGGTGTTTCTTTTATGGAAATAAAAGTAAAAATTCTTAATCGAATAAATAAGTATAATATATTTCATAATTTAAATCAGTTTATTATATTACAATTACTTCCGGTTTTTTGTCGTCTATTTTCCGTTTTCTTGTTCATTATTTTCGTTCATTTTCGTATGTAAATTTAAAATCGATATTGCTGTCTCAATTTTTTCTTTTCACAAATTAAAGTTTTCAATGTTTATAACACGATGCGACGTTTTTAAAATTAAATTATTAAAAACTCGTTGTTTTCGAGATTTATTCTTTTTTCTTCAATAAATTAAAAATTTTCGGTTTTCTTTTATCCTATTTACAATTTTTTTCGAGATATGTTTATTTTTTAAATTATTTTCAAAATTATTTACAAGATGTTTTTTATTTTTTTTTTGTTTCGAAATTTGTTTTTATTTTTAAATCTAAAAAACTTATCTTAATTATTTATTGCACAGTTCCATTTATTTTTCCAAATTTTTTTTTCTTCATCATCGTCATCAAAAAACAACTTTTATTTAAATTAAAAATTAAAAATAAAGAAATCCAAATTCTAAACTAAGTATTATTTAACAAAGATTCTATACTAAAAGGATTCGGTCTTTTTATTTTTTCTTCTGACGTTTCACCGGAAGTTAACGTTAATTCCGATCCATTTTCAGTGTTTCCATAAAAATCTCGACTCGTTGTGCTTAAATTTTCACTTTCAGCACCTGAATCACCAACGACGTCTATATCAGAATCGGAATCTAATTCGGCTCCTCTTTGCGTTAAATATTCTCTTTTTAATGCGACCAAATCGACGGCGATTCCTTTCGCTCTCAATTTTCGAGCTTGACGTTCTAAAGCTTTTTGTAACTTCTTTCTTCTTCTTGCTCTTTCTCTAGCTCTTAATTCAGCCGGTGGAATTGGTTCGCCGGAACATGATTGTGGATGGGCATTGTGTGCGGGTCTTCCAGGGCCTTTTTTTGTGTGTTCTTTTTTGCGCCACTTTGCACGACGATTTTGGAACCAAACCTGCAAAAAAATACATATATATAAAAATATAACAATACATATATGAAAAAACGATATAAATAGGATGTGTGCAGATTTCAACGTGTATCGAGAGTTTGGAGCCCCGAGGGGCCGTAATTAGCATGTTAATCCGAGAGGGGCGTATCGGAGAAGTTCTTGCCGAGGCAGCAGCGCTGCCCGGTGGCGCCCCCTTCGCCGTTGCGGCCGTAATTGCGTGATATACATATAAATTGATTGTGTTAAGGTTGATGACTTCATAACGCGAAGGGGTCGAACGGGAGCGTTATTTTAACCACTTTTTTTTTGTTGGAAATTATCATTATCAGGTGTTAATTATTAGAAATAGAGAGTTTAAGATTTAATCTGATTCAAGAATAATTTCTTAATATTCATAAATATGAACGGAAACTTTTTCGCCCCGTCGAAGTCGATTTCTGGGATCCCTAAAGGTCATCGAAGTTAAAAGACTTCCCTAACCCTCAAGAAAAGCTTCCACCCTGAAATAATCTGAATTTATTTCAAAAATTTTTTTTTATAGGATTCTTTTTAATTTTAGCATTTTTTCAATGCACAAACGAAGATAAATTACAATTATCGGTTGATGGGATGGGGTTGGAATCGCAAATTGGTCTCCCATAAAATACCCATCATAATTACGGGTGTTTTGCATATAAAGTAGGAGCTCAAGAACGTATTCGTGCTTTTTTTTGATCGTTTTTTAAATGGGAGGAGATTCTCTTCGCCGCCGTCGAGAATGTAACATCTTTATAAAATGACCAGGAGCGATTAAATATTTATCGGGTTCGGTTCAAGAACAACTTCTTCGCCGACGGTTAATTTTGGTCTCATAAACGTTTTTTTTTTTTGATTATTTCAATTCGTCCTTTTTTTCAGATTTTATTACAAACAATAAAAAATTTTAGGTTATTCATAATTGTTTATAAATGTATTACATATTAAAAAAATCCATTTTAAATTAAATATCGAGTTGTTTAAGTCCAAACACGATGGGTTTATTTTAAATAGTTCCAAAGATACACAAAATATAAAAAAGAAACAATTGAAATCAAAGATGGCCGACACCAACTGTCATTTTTAAGGTTATATTTTGATAATTTACTGATAATATGAGTTGTTGGGTATTAAATTAAAGGATTTTTCATGTTTTTTATGATTATGAAATTTTTATGATTAAAACAAATTATGCAAAAAATTCATTGTAATTAATCAAAATTGAAAATAAGCCCAATCTCGATGTGTTTATCTTAACTAGTTCTAAAAACATATCTGTGCAGAGGCGGCCTAAACCGGGCGCCGATTAAAAGGGGGCGTTGGCGCCTTTTTAATATTTTCTCCAACAATATCTTATCTTTCTTTAGCAGTATTTCGACCTGTCAGCAGTAGCTAGTCTTCAGAAAACAGTATTTAGTCTCTACAAAGCAATTTTAGTCTTTAGAAAGCAGTATTTAGTGTTCCAGACGCTGTATTTAGACCTGTCGGCAGTATCTAGCCTTCAGAAAGCAGTATTTAGTCTTCTGCCAAAGTTATGTATGTTTTCTCCAAAATATTTTATCTTTCTTTTGTAGTATTTAGACCTGTTAGCAGTATCTAGTCTTCAGAGAGCAGTATTTAGTCTCCACAAAGCAAATCTTAGTCTTTAGAAGGCAGTATTTAGTGTTTCAGACGCTGTATTTAGACCTGTTGGATGTATCTAGTCTTCAGAAAGCAGTATTTAGCCTTCTAGAAGCAGTATCTAGTCTTCTGCCAATGTAATGTATATTTTCTCCAAAATATTTTATCTTTCTTTTGCAGTATTTAGACCTGTTGGCAGTATCTAGTCTTCAGAAAGCAGTATTTAGTCTCCACAAAGCAATTTTAGTCTTTAGAAAGTAGTATTTAGTATTTCAGATGCTGTATTTAGACCTGTTGGCAGTATCTAGTCTTCAGAAAGCAGTATTTAGTCTCCACAAAGCAATTTTAGTCTTTAGAAGGCAGTATTTAGTGTTCCAGACGCTGTATTTAGATCTGTCGGAAGTATCTAGTCTTCAGAAAGCAGTATTTAGTCTCCACAAAGCAATTTTAGTCTTTAGAAGGCAGTATTTAGTGTTCCAAACGCTGTATTTAGACCTGTCGGAAGCTTTCTGAAGACTAGATCTTCAGAAAGCATTTAGTTTTTTTTTAAGCAGTATCTAGTCTTCTGCCAACGTTATGTATGTTTTGTTCTTGATACTGACAGCTACTTCTTTCTGGGTGTCTATCATCATCTTTTTGGGAGCCTCTTATTATCTATACGGATCTTGTACCACCCGGTACCTCATTTCTGCAACTGTTACTTTGCTTTTGTGCTTATCCTGCATTGGCAAAGTTTCCGTATTGGTGATTTCCTGTCCTGTGCAATAACAAGACAAGTCCATTGGTTTCTTGTTCATATTCTTCGCATTCTTTTATTGAACACAAGTATTGCCATGAAAAATCATGTTTGGTTTATAATCAATTTTTTGTTTTCTCTGAACAGTAATTTCAGACTTCATGGCGCCGGCACTGTATCTGTGACTTCGTGCAAAAAGGGGCAATGTCTTATTTTTCTTGAAAATAAGACCTATATTGCAAGAGCATTAATTTGTAATATATTTTCAGTGCTAAAACGCCCAAAGTCAAATTCCGCTTGGAAGTATGCGTAATTATTTTTTTATTGATGAGGCATATGACCAGCAACCTTGTCATCAAGTTTATGCAAGAAGGGCCAATCTTGAATTTAACCTTTTTAAATGTAAGTTTTTTAAATAAGTCACAGCTGCCATATAACATTGGCCGTTAGTAGCAAACACGGAGTTCGGAGTATAAACGTTATTTTATGTGGTGTCTGCAATTTTTGTGATACTTATGACATGGATTCCAGAGTTCCAGAGTTCGAGAGCGAATAAAATGTTAAAAATGTGTCTTGCCTTTAAATGTAAGTACAGAATTAATAAGTCATTATGTAAAAACGTTTGTTTTGAGCTTCTGGAGAGATCCAATAAATGTGAGGTTTTGATTATTAGCTGCTTAGAGTACCTTCAATAAAACGATATTTAAAATAAGTTATCAGACTAGACGGATTGCATGAGGAATAAAAATTATTCTCCTTTTGCTATCAGATTCTGCTGAGAAAGAAGATACTGTTGCAAGTAGTAGCATTTCACTGTCTGCTGCTAATCAGGTAAGCAGAGAAGAATTAGAAAACGATATACAAAACTCTGTGCATTTGCATGAAAGTACCACATCATTTGGTGTATATGAAAATCAGGGTAATTATTATGTGAAATTGAAGGACCTTTAGACATCGTAGAAATTACTGTCCCATCAGTAAATGCAGAAATAATAAACTTTGACCGTGAAGAACGTACATTTCCTTTCCTGGAAGAAGATTGTGTATTGAGGACAGTTCGGATGAATACATTCCTAATGCAGATAAGAATACCGACGACGAATCATCACTAGATCTTTCGTTATTTATAGGAAAAAAATCAAGATCTACCAAAGGAAAGAACGTCGTTCCACAAAATATTTCTTCCGTGCAAGGTGCAGGTTCCAAAACTGCAAAGAAAAGAAGTTGAGTGCAAAGCAACGAAAACACAAAAAAAAGGCGGACTAATCCAGATCAGTGGGACAGAGTTAAAAGAAAGCAACTAAATACAGGGTAAGGAATATACAACCGTTTCTGGAAAAGAAATTCTAAGCAGATTAAAGTGCTCTAAAAAATTCTGCTTACAAGAACGGCTAAATATTTTTAACAACTTTTACTTGCTTTCTGGTGAAGCGCAAAGCTAATTTCTAGCAGGATCGGTTGAAGAAAGTAAGAAAAATGTTGGACATTTTTCCAGAAGGTATTTCTTGCAAAAGTCTGATAAGAGAATTCAAGTTTGTTATGCCATGTTTTTAAATACTCTTGCTGTAACCTTAAAAAAAGTAAGAGTAATTGTTGAAAAGGAAAGGTCTTCAAGAAGATAAAACTGGTAAGCACGGCAAACAGTTTCGAATCCCTGAAAGTGATAAGAACGTTATTAGAACACACATAAAACTGTTTCCAGCTTCTAAAAGTCATTATGCACGAGAACACACAGGGAAAAAGTAGTTGTCTTCAGATTTATCAATTTCCAAAATGTATCGTCTTTATGTTGAATACTTCCAGACAAATAACTTCACAGTTCGAAAAGAATCTGTATATAGAAAAATATTTGTTGAAGAATTTAACTTATGCAAATGTGGTAAATTTCAATTACAACTAAGGTATTCCGAAAACGAATTACAAAAACAATCGATCCAACATCTAGACTTAGCTCAATCTTCCTATAAAGAAAAGAAATCTGACAAAATAAGAAGTAGACAAGATAAGCACATAGTCACTGTATCATTTGACATAGGAAAATGCCTGCCTACACCAAACTTGACAATTCATGAAACTTGTGGTTATGGGATGAAATATTGGCAGCAGGTGGGTGGTGGACAGAAGATAAGTTCGTGTCCTTTTCAGTATTTTACGAATTTAGAACATGATATTCAAGAAGTTAACTTGTACAGCATCTGATGTTGTTACATGCCGTTCACTATTTAGGACGACAAGATAAGTATATATTATTTTATTATTATTATTGGCCTCTCTCGTCACCGCAACCTATAAGATCTATTATAACTTTAGACCTGCAAAAGTTTACTGCAAATCTAGGTTCTCAATGAACCTTAGTATTGCTCCAAGGTCTTGTTCCTTTATGTCGGTAGGTGTCAAAAGAGCTTTACCGAAAATTTTGTAACTTTTACTTGCTTTCTGGTGACGCAATTATACAGCATATGTTCAGCCGTTTCTGACTCGTCGTTGCAAAGTCGATAAGTTTGATCCTCAGCTTGTCCAATGTGGAAGAGGGAGTATTTTAGGGGTGCATGGCCGGTCAAGAAACCTGAGAGCGTGCTTAGATCCCTTTTGCTGAGGCATAAAACCTCTTTGGTTTTGTTTTGCATTTTTATTAGCGTCTTGTTGGACCCATCTCAACCTTTAAGCTCATCCTGTTCTCAGACGGCTTCTGTTGGACGTTGACCGGACAATGTAATATGATTTTTATGCAAATAATCTGCATACTCCTGGTATGGAGTTTTCGTCAACGGCATATCCTTCCATAAATCTGGCGTTGAAAATACTTATTATTATTAAAAATATTTTTTATTATTAAATCTGTTGAAAATTATGCCCGTTCAGAAACAAACCCGCGCTGGTCAACGGACACGATTCAAGGCATTCGTAGCTATTGGTGACGGAAAAGATCACAATGGGTTGGGGGTGAAATGTAGCAAAGAAGTTGCTACAGCTATCCGTGGGGCGATTATCCTGGCGAAACTTTCGGTTATCCCTGTAAAGTTAGGTTACTGGGGAAACAAGATTGGTAAGCCCCACACGATTCCTTGTAAAGTAACAGGAAAGTGCGGTTCAGTTACGGTGAGGTTGATTCCTGCACCACGTGGTACTGGAATAGTTTCGGCCCCCGTTCCCAAGAAATTACTGCAAATGGCAGGAATTGAAGATTGTTACACCTCAGCTAGAGGAAGCACGGGGACATTGGGTAACTTTGCTAAAGCTACATTTGCGGCAATCGCGACCTGAAAGTTCTTTCCAGCGTAAGGCTACCTCCCAACTGTTGATTATTTGTTTTAGGTGGCTTTTTTGTAGTCCACAACCGGGTTGGGGTCCAATAATGGGCGTTTCCGCTGCCTCTCTGGCCAGCTTGTCCGCCTTCTCATTGCCCTCAATGTTTCTGTGACCTAAAACGACTATAGATTAACATAATGGTCCCTAGCGAGTTCTTTCAGGTTGCTTGTACACACCCTGATCAGTGCGGAATCACACGTGTAGGCCTGAATTGCCTTTCGGGCAGCCCGACTGTCTGTGAAAATGTTTATTGATGCACCTTTCTGCCCCCTTTGTAGGTTCAAAGCGGTGCAGAAGTTTATAACCAGAACTTCTGCTTGAAAAATGTTTATGTCCAAACTGAGGTTTAATGTAATGTGGCTATTTGGTCCACTGATGTCCATGGCTACTCCGGCTTCTCTTTTTAGTTGAGGCCCACCCTTTGTCTAATCATAATTGCTTCTAAATATGATCTTATACGGCTGGTCGAAATTGTATTCTGTCGGTATAAGGTCCGTTTTAACTTCAATCAAGTGATTTAGACATGGGCATCAACTTGAGCGAAGAGCCTGTTTTCAGTAATGAGGCACTTAAGGCTGCCTCCTTTTGTATATATTAATGAAGTGGTGTGAGACCGAGTAGGGTTTCAAGAGCAGGCATCAGACAAGATCTCATTGCTCCCGTTGTATTAAGACATGCTAACCGCTGGATTAGTGCCAGCTGTTGTTGTGCTGTCTTATGTTTTGTTTTTGGTCACCAAACCAATAAGGCCTAGGCGATCATGGGTCTGATTATTGCTACGTAGGGCCATAATGGCCTCTTTCCTCACCATGTCAAGGTAAGGATATAACAATCAACCATAAATTTGTGGAAGCTTGCCATACCTACATGGAAGATACTATCCACACTGCCATAGAGAAAGCAAAAAAGACTCAAAGAAAGTCTCCAATAAAAGTTGTTGAAATGGAGCAGAAAAACTTCCTCAAATTTAAATCTTTACTGGATTAGAATTATCTTCTCCGCAAAAAAGATACTCTAGGACAAGTGACTAGGACTCTGTGGTCATTAATCAAATTTATGCAATATCGGCCAGAAAATCCAGGTAAAGTGTTCTATAAAGAATCTTTTTCTACCGATGAAGAATTTAAAACTTTAGACTTGTCAAAAAGAAATTCAGCGAGGACTATACCCACCAACATTATGTTACAACCACTAAATAACAAACGTAACCTTTAAGCGAGGAAAAGTTAAAGGACCTAAAATCATTGCATCCATACATTCACGTGAACAGCAGAATTTTCTACGACAAGTTTATGGAAAATCTTAAAGGAAAATTTGATGTTGAAGACTATTTTCCAGATGAAAGGTCTGATGATGAATACGAAGAGTAAGACTTTTACATAGCTTGGGGCTCTTTCAATTACTACAGTTTTGCATATTTTGTAGTTCTTTCTTGTGTTTGAAATAGTGATGTAACGGATATTCGCATCTGCATCCGCAACTGCGGATAATCCGCATTGTTTTGAGGATCCGCATCCGCATATATTTTAACGGAGCTCCGTTACAATAAATAAGTAGGGTAGGTTGAAAGTACAAATAGGGTCAAAACGTGCCCTATTATGAGTCAAACATATTCCCGAAATTTCATTTTCCTAGCGTTTATGGTTTTTAAGAAAAAAGAATTAAACCAAAATTTTCCGCCATTTTTGGAGAGGTGTAGCTCCTTCGGGGCGCCGAAGTCGCCCATGGTTCATATATCAAATTACCCTTAAAATTCAGTAAAGAATCACCCTTGAAGTTTGTCAGATACACCCTGTATATATAAAAACTTTTTTGAGGTTATGTTCTTAATTACTGATCAAATCAAAAATTTTTATTAACAATATTTATTTAGAATTACTTCAGGAACAGTGTTTGTTAATAAAATTTTTTGCTATCTTGAAATTTTAATTTCCCTCTGAATAGTATGCTATCAAAATTAATTATCTCGATAATTATTGTTTTTATCAAAAAGTGTTTTTAATAAAATTTGTTTCAATTTAGATTTTGAATCAATTATATTAATAAAAATTTTTACTTCTCTATTAACTAAACATCTAAGTGTAATTATGTGTAAAAACGGAAAAATTATTATTTTGAGGTTATCTCCTTAGTTACTGATTAAATCAAAAAGAAAGTTGATAAAGTTTGCTTAGAATTGTTTCAGGAACAATTTTTGTTAACACAATTTTTTTCTAACTTAAAATTTTAATTTCCCACTGAACAGTATGCTACAAAAATTAATATTTTTGAGGTTATATCCTTATTGTTGATGTAATCAAGAAATGTTGTTAACAAAATTTGTTTAGAATTACTTCAGGAAAGTGTTTGTTAATAAAAATTTTTGCTATCTTGAAATTTTAATGTCCCTATGAATAGTATGCTATCAAAATTAATTATCTCAATAATTATTGTTTTTATCAAAAAATGTTTTAAATAAAATTTGTTTCAATTTCGATTTTGAAGATTTTGAATCAATTATCTTAATAAAAAATGTTTACATCTCTATTAATTAAACATCTAAGTGTAATTATGTGTAATAACGGAAAAATTATTATTTTGAGGTTATCTCCTTAATTACTGATTAAATCAAAAAGAATTGTTGATAAAGTTTGTTTAGAATTGTTTCAGGAACAATTTTTGTTAACACAATTTTTTTCTAACTTGAAATTTTAATTTCCCACTGAACAGTATGCTGTTCTTTTAATCAAGATTTTCTCAACAAACGCCGCTGAGAACGAGTGGAGGGGGAAAATCGTATCGTTTTGTTACAAAAGTTCCGTGCCCTGCTGATTACCAATTAATAATTTACTAATTATTAGTAATTACAATAGAAATATTATTTTCATGAAAATTTTAGTACGTAACTTTTTTCAATAACTCCGCATCCGTTAAAATCGCATCCAAAAATCCGCAAAATTAGAATTAAAAAATCCGATTCCGCATCCGTATCCGCTAAACTCACATCCGTAAAATCACTAGTTTGAAACTCTATATTGTACTAGTTAATAACTTTGTCTTCTGTTGTACCATATGAAATATTTTGTCTGTTTTTTATATTTGCAGCAAAAGATCTAAGCTATTGTATGGTAACACTGCAAGTCTAAACGGCCATCAAATTGTCATCAAATGATTCAATTTAAGGTAAGTAATTCTAATAACAAAAGCATGTAACTATCAAACGTTGACTTCAATAAAGTAAACTGAGCACGACTGACATTAACCTAAAAAAGTGGCAAATCTGTTTTCTGAATTTACTCAACAGTAAGAATTTTGACATTGGCCTTTTTTGCACCAAGGCACAGATATAAAATGTAAAAAGACATAGTTGAAATCAAAGATGGGTTGAATAATATTATTTTTCAAATAAGAATCTATCTTATATATCTATTACAAAGTGTGTTGTACTGCAAGAGGATGCTTTATTCTGTGCAATCATGAAAAGTGCTACGATTGCAGACTCTGTAACACCCGTTACGTTGCAATGTCACACCTGTGACAAGATTAATAAGAAATCAAATAACTTATCTATATACAAATTCTACAAATAAATTTTACAATTAAATAACCAATCGATACACCCAAAACGGTTTTTACCATTACAATTGTTCTCATGCTTATTGATTTTCATGTTATTCCAGTTATCAACCTTTTTTAAATTGTACGATAATATCACGTTTATTTCTAGTTCCGATAATATATTTTTGTTGTGGCTATTTTATTAAATGTCAAATGTTAATTTAAGAGGCCAAAGTTTCGAGATAGCCGGCAATATTACGGCCGTATTATAATTCCAGGTTGGGTATCCAAAGTTTGTGCTATTACAAACTACAACTTTTATGAAAGAAATGCAAAACTTAATATTGCAAAAGATTGCGATCAAGTTAAAAAATCTCTATCTCAAGAACTAAAATGGATGTCCTGAAACAGTTTGGAAAAAGTTCATCCTTTAATTAGTAATTCATGGAAATTCGATTAACGTTTTCCACAAAATATATCTCTTATGAATTTTTGAATTTAATGTAAAAAATATATTGAGCAAAGGATTTCGATCGAATTAAAAAAATATTATCTCAAGAAAAATATTTGATTAATGTTTTCCATGAAATAGATCTCCCATGAAATTTTGAATTTAATAAAGTAAAAGATTACAATCAAGTTAAAATATTTCTATTTCACGAACTAAAATGAATTTCGATATGTTTTAGCATTACACAATTATTTATTTATAAACAAGGTATGTTTTGCCGGAATGATCATCATTACACAATGTACAATAAATTATTCCCACGATTTGAATGAAACGATTTCGGCGCGTAACTTCAAAAGCAAATTTATTTCTGTTATCAGAATGTCTTAGTAAATCATAGTGAAATCGCATCCAATCAATACAAAAATTGCAACATCTTGTTTTAATGATATTTCTAAATCAGAGTAAAAAAACGTCTTGTAACAAATACTTTATAATATTCTACTGTTCGCAAATTAGAATTGGTGTCAAATATAGGGTAATCTGATTGCAGAAAACTACATCGTACTTCATTATAGACTTGTCACCGGTTGTTCAACTAATTTTATCTGTACAAACTTTTAACTTGATTCCTCCTGGTATGTCGTTGTTCAGTTCGTCATCGGCGAGTGATCTGGCACAATCAAAAGTTTTCGTGGTATTATGTAACTTGATAACAACATTTGCTCGAAATTGTAACACGTTTAAATTATCTAACGTACCGGAAAATCTTCATGTTATTACTGCTATATATAATTTTGATTGTTTTAAAAGATCCACACAAAGCAAAATAAGATAACATTATTATGCTAACTGGAGTGTTTCAAAGAATTTCATTACTCACATAAATTGAAATTCTCCCGTTAAGATAGGCTTTTGAGGTGCAAAATATACACGGCCAATCAACGGATTCCTACCAAACCGGAAA